TGGGTTGTGTGTTGGGTAGGGGGCTGGGCGGTTCCAGGGCTGTTTGAGTTTTTTAAAAGATAATAATCAAACTAAAACTATTTTCTTAACAAAAAACTTCTTTTGGATAAAATCCATTAAAGTTTAGTAAATTATTATCAAAACTGTCAGTGCAAGTTATATATGATATACAATATATTATAAACATTATACATTATAAAGTTTAGATTTATAGCTATAGGCCGTATTTACCTACTCTTAAAGGGAGTGTTCGCGAAAAATTAAAGGGGTATAGGCTTACGGCGAAAAATAAGCGCTTTTGATCACTCCTAGTCTTACTTCTATCTGTTGCGTCTATAAGGAGAAAATTGTTAAAAAACGACTCACGCTAATCCAAAAAGTTGCAACATTCAACTCGCATCGTAAAATAATCAATTTAATTCCAAACAAATCATTCAGATATTACAATTACAAACAATAGTCATCGATTACTTTTCGACGCATTCGTATATAGCTGATATTTTTGATTTTGTTTTTTAAATTCATATTTCACTGGCACTGGATTTTCGAACATTCCTGGAAAATATGGAATGTCGTCTTTATCATCAAAAATCCTCAAAACAGGAATAAATGTTTTTAAAAGTAACTATAAGATCATGAAAAACAATAAATATTATGAAATATCAACTATATACGAATGCGCCGAAAAATAATCGATGATTATTGGTTGTAATATTTGAATGATTTGTTTGGAATTAAATTGATTTTTTTACGATCCGAGTTGAATCTTGCAACTTTCTGAACTTGTATGGACGCAGCGTTCTTCAGCATGAGTCGTGTTTAACAATTTTCTCCTTGTAGACGCAACAGATAGAAGTAGCGATCAAAAGCGCTTTTTTTCGCAGTAAGCCTATACCACCTTTCATTTTTCGCGAACACTCCCTTTAAAATAAAATTTATTTCAACTGCATGCTTCTTATCATGCTCGTTATTAGCTAGTCAAATGTTGGAATTTAAAGTATTTTTTTGGATATTTCTTTTTGCTTCTTATTATTAAAGAAATATTTGTTTCAGGTGGAACACATCTTTTTGGAGGAGCTAATGGTCTTAGACGTAGAGGGAGACAAACATATACAAGGTAACTATCTAGCTATTCAACTAGCAATCTGACTAGATATCTAGCTATTCAACTAGCTATCTGACTAGATATCTAGCTATTCAACTAGCTATTTGACTACCTATCTAGTTATTCAACTAGTTATCTGACTAGCTATCTGACTAATTATCTAGCTATTTAACTAGCTATCTGACTGGCTATCTAGCTATTCAACTAGCTATCTGACTAGCTATCTAGTTATTCAACTAGTTATCTGACTAACTATCTGACTAACTATCTAGCTATTTAACAAGCTATCTGACTGGCTATCTAGCTTTTCAACTAGCTATTTGACTAGCTATCTAGTTATTCAACTAGTTATCTGACTAACTATGTGACTAACTATCTAGCTATTTAACTAGCTATCATACTAATTAACCAACTTTTTAACTATTTATCTAGCTGCTATCTAATTTACTGACCAACTATTCAACTATTTATCTAGCTAACCAACAAACCAAATGATTGTCTATAAGCTATCAGACTAACTAAACAACTGTTTATCAAACTAACCAACTATTTATCTAGCTAACCAACTAACCAAATGATTGTCTAGCTATCAGACTAACTAAACAACTATTTATTAAACTAACCAACTATTTATCTAGCTCTCTGACTAAGTAAAAGAGAATCTATCTAAACCAACCGAACTTTTATCTATCTATCTATCTTTCTTCCCTACCTCTCCGACCCCCTGTATGCTACGACGAACCCTGAGATTATCTAGGTACCAAACCCTGGAGCTGGAGAAGGAGTTCCATACTAACCATTACCTCACGCGGAGACGAAGAATAGAGATGGCTCATCAACTCTGTCTGACAGAGCGACAGATCAAAATTTGGTTTCAAAACAGGTAAATAACATATATTTTTTCTATTTATTTAAACAAGCAAAGAATAAGAAAAAATTATGTTTTTGGCTTAGCAATCATCCCTTTCTTACAATTCTCACAATTTTCTCCATCCATAGAAAACTCCCAGTTAAAAAAATCAATTTCAGATTACAAATAAGGATATCTTTATCATTCTTAATCAGGCAAAGGTTCAAAGGGTGCCGTTGAGAATCTAAAATGCCACTAGGAGAGGGTCCCTTGAAAGTATGTCAACTGTCCCTTTCAGCAGTAGAAATAAAAAATAGGCGATGCCTAAAATTAAAAAGAAATAATATTTCTACAAAACATTGTGTATATTTTTCTAGGGGACTTCTACCTAAAATCTCACTGAACCTCCTTAAAACTGTATAATTCCGGAGAAAAACTTTCACTTTTCTTTAACTGATTTTTTTCATTCTGTATAATATTTTTTATTATATTTTGTATTATATTTTGTATTATGTTTTGTATTATATTTTGTATTATAATTTGTATTTTGTTTTATATTTTAGCGTTGACATAAAAAATCTCAAATTAGGTTTGAACAAACACCTTGTCCTAACAGTTGGGCAAAAAAAGTTATTTCTAAATTTTGTAAATAATTAACTTTTAAACCGAAATATGCATAAACATTGAGCGGGGGTTGAAAATTTAACCAAAACCTAATTTGCAAAAAATATGCTAATTATCTGGCAATAAAGTTTTTCAAGTGCAAAATCTGGCGTGATGGGAACAATTTGAAATTTTTATTTTTGTGCTCAATATTGTACATAAAGCGAGCTGGGTTATAGTTTGCAGGCAACTCGCGGGAACTCTTTTTCGTCCATTGAATGTTTGCATTTTTAGTTTTCAATGTGAAAACACGCAACTTCTGCATAATTTAGTGGTTTCAAATTGGCAAAATAACGCACTTTTTGCACAGTTCACAAACTGGGCAGCAGATGAAAATTGCAACATTTGAAGAATTAAAAACTTTTATTTACAATTCGTTTTTTTTTAGGAGAATGAAATTAAAGAAGGAGATCCAAGCGATCAAGGAGTTGAATGAACAGGAAAAGCAGGCTCAAGCAGCCAAAGCAGCAGCTCAAGCTGTTCAGCAGTGTGATCAAGGCCAAGAGCCCGCCTAACCAAACCAAACCTCGCCTGTCTCCGGAATCCGCGAAAATTCAGGTTTCGCGGATTTTTTCCATTCCTAATCCTGTGGATAATCCAGAGAAAAAAAGACTTACAGGGATCCTAATCTCATACCTAGAATTAGTGGATTTAGAAAGGGACTAGCGGAGATATGGTTAGCGGAAACTGGAAAGGATAAACCGCTAGGCGAGATATAAAAGTACTCTGAGTACTTTATTTAGTACAAAGTGAGTCGGACTACTAGTGAAAATTGCAAGAGAGAGAATGTCGAATAAACTTTTCATTGCTAAGTGCTGATTAATGTTCATCATGAACCAGACGAAACCCCTAATATCTCAAGTTGTATCCAACCCACTATACCTATCACACGTGAACGAATATACGTAATAAATAACGTTCCAAATACATAGTCAAAACATTTTTTGCCGGCTTTATATATACATACATTCTTAGTGCAAACACAAATTATCTAATAAGTCAAATTAAGAAAAATATCTCGGAGGAGTTTTTTAATGTTTAAATTATGATAAGTAACCAATTTGAGGTATTTTCCCACCTATCTAAATCGAATCAGACTGAAAAATTAATTCCAATTTTTAAAAAATGAGTTTAGAATTTAAGATTGGCAACAAAAAAAGTTTTTATCGTTGAAATTTATCTTCAAATTAGGACAAAATATTTTCTAAAATTGTAAAAAATAAAAAGTCCCCCTACCATTCCAAGTCTCCCCCCCTTCCAATCCTGTCTCTAGTCACCCCTCAAAGTTCCATGATCTTTCAGAAATAGTTTAAAGCGCAAAAACATGAAAGGGATACCTCACTAATTTTGTGGCGAGGTGGAAGTTTATTTTGTGACGCGTTTCTTTAATTTCAATAATATCTATAATTCCATATTTGTTTTGATAATATTACAACCAGTGAACTGTATCCAGAACTAGGGAGGGGGTGCAGGGACGTCATGAGCCCCGCCAAATGGTCTCCAAGCCTGTGGATTCGCAGATGTGTATTTAAAATGACCTGGCGCTACCTCTATCCTTTAGAATAAATATTATATGTAGAAGTTATGTATAAAAAATATTTTAATAGTTATGCTCTTCGGATATTGAAGAAAACACTGCATAACTATTTAATGATTGAATATGTTTTTTTAAAACGTTATTTATTACTTCTACAATATTATTATAACGTTTAAGGGTAGCGCCCGATCATTTTTAATACTCATCTGCTAATACGGAGGCTCGGAGAAACATTTTGTGGGGCTCATGGCGTCCTGTAGCCCCTCCCTCCCAGAACTAGAGTTATGTAAACCATGTATCCTCTGTACATCCCGGAGTCTAGAGTTTAACCTCCGGAAACTAATATCAAGTTCAAAAGGTCTCCGAACTTAAGTTTGGATTTTTTTCTCCACTTAAGTAGGGACTGTCCAACTTAATGTCAGTTTTAGCTGAACAAACTGCAGATTCTGTCAAATGATCAATACAGGGTGGTATTGATACGACAACTGATAAATTTCCAAATGATAAGATGTTTTATATTTGGATGTTTTTAAAGTCTAAAAGATTTAATTTGTAAATCTATTTATGTATGCAAATTATAGCTTTAAGTTCTAAAGCAACCAAAATAAAATTTACTATAGACAAAAATGTCGTGAGTATTCTGAACCACCCTGTATATTCTGCTCATATGTTCCTATGTTAAAACAGTATTTAAAATATATTAAAAATGTTTCATAAAATGGGAGCAGAAGAATATATTTTCAGAAAACATTAACAAATTGAAAACATTTTATTTCATTCCTAATTGGCTATTTATTAGAATTGACAAGTTTTCTAGTGCCAAAAGTAAAGTGTTAGCTTTGCAAAATACTTTTTTTTGCAAAACTTGTATTTTCTTGACGGCGCAAATAATTTATAACTGTTTTTTTCTTGCCTTATTATATTGTGTATAGTGTTGTAAAAATAGGTTTAGCATTTTTTCAGGATTTCTTTAAATCTTGAAAACTCATCTTTTTACCTTGTTGTTATTAATGATTTAATAAACATTCATGTATTTGAACATATTTTTATTACATTTGTTTTAAATAAAAAAAAAAGGTTTGAAAGAGAACAGTAAATCAAAGGTTGCCAGCTCTCGCGTAGAAAACGATGACTGAAACACTAAAGTTAATAGCAAGTGATTTGATATTTCTAAAAGTTGTATATCTAGGGCTACAAAGTTAGAGAGGTGAAATTTAAGGACAAGGTTTTAAATACGACTGAGTCAGCAGACTGGATTTATGTGAAAAAAGTAGCAAAGAGTGGCAAAAAAGAATGGTAAAAAATGTGGAAGAGCAAATCTAAATTTTGGTTTAGCTTTCAGAAATTGTCTCCAAAGACGTTGTCCATATATCAATATATATATTCATTAATTTGAGTCCTTGGTTTTTGTAATTAATCGATAAAAAAACTACCATATTAAAATTCAAATCATAAGATCACGATGGGAGGAAGGGGCAGGGAGGTGTCCCCCCCCCTGTGGTTTTTCTTAACAACTTATAAACGGCTTTCACTAGAACTGAGGCTCAAACTTCTTCACTTTTTAAACTTCATAATTTTGTTGTGCATGGTGGAGGGTGAAGAACAGTCAAAGCGTTGGTCTAAAATAGTCATTAAGATTTTATTAATGAAGCTACAAATCTAAAATTTATTCATTTGAAAAGCCATTGAAAAATGGATATAATATCATGAGTCACACCAATCTTTGAAAAAAAGAAAATAGCCCAATCGGTATAGGGTTGTGATTGACAATTTTTTTGTTAGAAAACTAACACAGAAATCAGATTTGTACCAATTAACTCCGGCAATCTGACATTTACGAACGCACTTTCTAGGAAGGTCTTCCTAAACAATCTCAAAAAATGTAAATATGGATTGAAAACCAGATGTAAAAATAATGATGTAATCAACAAAACACGTAAAAACACGTAAATAAAAATAAGGAGAAAACTTAGAGAGACTAGGACTAGGATCGGCTCTTACTTATTTGGCGCGAAAAGGGAATACAAGAGACCAAGCGCTGTAAGATCTTATGGAAAGGAGAAACAAGGAACGTTAGCGTAGATACTCTTTTTTGTGGTAACGTAATGAAACGCCATTTTATTTCTTCCACCGATTTATTCATGCTACAGGAGAACATTATCACATACTAAAACAAGTGCAATCCTTTCCTCCCGGTTCAGAAACAATGAAATATGTTATAAACATACAAAGTAGCATTTACAACCTTTAAAATTCAATTCGTCAGCGCAAATATTTTACAGTTATTTAAACTTGTCATTTGTCATTTGCCAACTTTTAGCTGATTCTAAAGATCAGTAAACCAACTTTAATATCGTCTAAAACCATAAACTTAACACAAACTATAGTTCTATAGGTGCTAAAGAATGTCAGAAAGTATACACTGTAATAGGCATGTTAAACTAAAGTAAAGTGCGGGAAAGATTGAAATCTTATATGTTTTCAATCATAACTCCTTAATTTATTGTTCAGAACAAAAAAAAATTTATCAGCTCTGATTAAAGAGTTAAAATATCGCCAACTTAAAGGGTGTGTTCGCGAAAAATGAAAGGGGATTTACGAATTCATAAAGTTGCAGCATACGACTAGGATCGTAAAAAAATCAATTTAACTCCAAACAAATCATTTAGATATTACAACCAATAATCATCGATAATTTTTCGACGCATTCGTAAATAGTTGATATTTCATAAAATTTTTGTTTTTGTTTTTTATACTATGCACTTGAAACGACGATTTTTTTCCGCTAGGTGTCTCTACCACGTGGAATCATTCAGACCATCGAGAGCAGAGACACCTGGCGGCAACCTAATAGGCGCTTTAAGTGCATTGTATATAAAACAAATAAAAAAATATAATGAAATATCAACTATGTATGAATGTGTCGAAAAATTATCGATGATTATAGGTAGTAATATCTGAATGATTTGTTTGAATTTAAATAGTTTTTTTTACGTTCCGAGTCGAATGTTGCAACTTTCTCTATTTGTATGGAAGCTACGTTCTTCGGTATGAGTCGTTTTTAACAATTTTCTCCTTGTAGACGCAACAGACAGAAAAAAAGATTAGTAATGATCACCATTGATAATTTTTCGCAGTAAGCCTATGACCCTTTTCATTTTTCGCGCTCCCTTTAAATAAAGAAAAACTTTAAAAATTGAATTGTTTTTTTTTTGTACCAAAATTTTCAAAAATGTTTAAATACGTTTATCAAAAATGTATTTCTTTTACATTGAGAATGCATATTCTTTTATCATCACAACAAATAATACTTGAAACAATTTCTAAACTTCACTGAATATGATTAGATTAATTTATTTATTTATTTTTCCAGGCATGCAATTTTATCAAGTATTTTCCACGGACCTAAAAAATACAAAATATTGAATTGAACTACATCAAGACCCTCGTGGGGGAAATGTGATCTTATATTTGAGAAATAACACCTTATAGCTAGGGCATTTTAAGAATGTCACACGAATTATTGATGCTGAAGGGATTAAAACAGAAATATGCACTTTATCAAAATACCACCTAAATAATGCCCACTTCATGATAAAGTTTATTTTAAACTTTCTTAATGATAAAATTCAGAAAATAGATTATTTTTGTAATCAAGTGGTTTTACAAATGAATCTTTAGATTTTCTGTAAACTAAAATAATTTGCAATATTTTTAATAATGATATTTTATATTGTCTTTTAACTACCCTGCAATTGTTTACCTGTGTAACATGTGTTTTATGAGACTATAAGGTCTGTATATATATGTTGCAAATGTATGGATATAAAATAGATAAATATTCTCCACAACTTGCATTTTAGTAAATTTTAGAGTGCAAATACATATATTAACGTAAACTTTTGAAAGAGATGATTTTTCAAGTTTGAGAAGCTTAGATTTTATCTATACATTGTATTATAATACACTTAGACCTGTTCACATAGATCTGTACAGTGTACACATCAGATAAATGTATTCTGGACGAGAGTATTATCCTGGTTTAGCTGTATGTATAGATTATGAACGGGTTTCATATTTTTTTTTCTTTTTATCCATTTTCATTATTACATTCATTGTTTCTCCATCTTATCCTTTCTATTCTACAATCCTCATCTTTCTCTCATTCCTTTCAACTTCATCCCTCTCATCCTCATCCATTCTTCCTTTTATCCTCATCCTTCCCCCTCTCATTCTCATCCAAAACCCTCTCATCCTCATCTCTTTTCCCTCTCATCCTAGTCCCTTCTCCCTCTCATCCTCATCCCTACCCACTCTAATCCTCATCCCCTTTCCCCTTAATACCTTTCATCCTCATCCTTTCTCCCTTTCATCCTCATCCACTTTCCCTCTCATCCTCATTTCTTTTCCCTATCATTATCATCCCTTCTCTCTTTCATTTTCATTCAATTTCCTTCTCATCCTCATCCATTATCCTTCTCATCCTCATCTATTCTCCCTCTAATCCTCATCCCTTTCCCCTTAATACCTCTCATCCTCATCCCTTCTCCCTTTCATCCTCAATTCTTCCTCTCATCCTCATACCTTTTCCTTTTCATTCTCATCTCTTCTCCCTTTCATTTTCATTCATTGACCCTCTCATCCTCATCCATTCTCCCTCTCATCCTTATCCCTTTCCCCTATCATTCTCATCCCTTCTCCCTCTCATTTTTATTCATTTTCCCTCTCATCCTCATTCATTATCCCTCTCATCCTCATCCATTCTCCCCTCTCATCCTCATCCCTTTCCCTTATCATTCTCATCCCTTCTCCCTTTCATTTTAATTCATTTTCCCTCTCATCCTCATCCCTTTTCCCTCTCATCCTCATCCCTTCTCAATTTAATCCTCATATCTTCTCCCTCACATCCTCATCCCTTTTCATTCTCATCCTTTCTCCCTCTCATCCTCATGTTTTCTCCCTCTCATCCTCATCCTTCTCATTTATTTAAACTTCATTCCTCTCATCCTAAACCATTTTCCCTCCCTTTCCCATCTTTTCTCACTCAACCTTATCCCTTCTCCTCTTATTGGAGTCATGTGATTCAGATATCCATATTGTGAGCTTAAATCTAGATTCAGATATCCATATTGTGAGCTTAAATCTAGATTGAGATATCCATATTGTGAGCTTAAATCCAGATTCAGATATCCATATTGTGAGCTTAAATCCAGATTCAGATATACATATTGTTAGCTTAAATCTAGATTCAGATATCCATATTGTTAGCTTAAATCCGGATTCAGATATTCATACTGTGAACTTAAATCCAGATTCAGATATCCATATTGTAAGCTTAAATCCGGATTCAGATATCCATATTGTGAGCTTAAATACGGATTCAGATACCCAAATTGTGAGCTTAAATCTAGATTCAGATATCCATATTGTGAGCTTAAATAGGGATTAAGATATCCATACTTGAGCTTGAACAGGGATTCAGATATCTATATTGTGAGCTTAAATAGGGATTCAGATATCCATACTGTGAGCTTAAATCCGGATTCAGATATCCATATTGTGAGCTTATATAGGGATTCAGATATCCAATTTGTGAGCTTAAATACAAAAAATGATCATGTAAATTTTGTCTTATTCATTTTGATATTTGTTTTTGCGCGAACAGAGGTTTAAATATTTAGTCAGAAAAAATAATGATATCTTCACCGTTCATACTTAAAAAAAAGAGGATACTGCTGGCATTCTGAATATAGAGGGCAGGGTCACTTATAAAGTTTATATTTATTTTTGTTTCTTTGTAATTTGTCTACCGTATGCTTCCCAGGTTTCTAATTAAGTCATTATAAAGCCGTTTTTTGGCTTTTATCTTTCAGTCAATATCAGGGGAAGTGGAAACTCTATCTATCTATCTTTCTATATTTATGGTATACCTAGGTTGGAGGGGGGGGAGGAGGGG